CTGACGGTCCCGCATCAATCGCGTGGATCGTAGGCACATGCAGTCGCTATGTGGCTCAATCTGCACCGTCTATCACACGTATGGAGAAGCTGCAATCGAGAGTTAAAATTATTTCTGGAACATTAAAACGATTTTTTCGAAGAGAGGTGCGCTAAGTGGAATGTGTCGTAGGTTTAAAATCGAATATTAGACAAGTTTAATCAGTAGTAGTTATTTGACGAATCTCGGAAATGGAAGAGGCGACCAAATAATAGAAATCCAAGAGGGTGTATTACAACTGTTTTGGTGTTTTTAATTGATCCTTACCACCTTATTTTATTAGTATTTATTCTGCAATTTCTCCTCTCGTTTTGCTTTGCCAATAACCTCTTTTCGAAAATGTTTTAATTATGTATATATATTAATATTTTATTATGATATATGTACGGCTTATTATATTTTGTTCATGTATAGTTTTATACATGTATAGTTTTATGTTTTAAATTTCATCCGTATACATTTATACTATACATACTATTAATGCACATATTGCAAATATTGTAATATATTGTTAAATGCGATTGGTTGTGTGTATGATGCTGTGGATCATGAAAATGATATGCATCACATTTTTTAACCACACCGGGTATTCAATATTTGTATATCCGACAGTCCGCAGTCTGTAAAGTGGGACGGGAAAATGTGTTGCATTATATTTTTACTGATGAAAAAATAAAATGAAATTAGCGAAAACTATTTGTAACTTTTATAGTAATATTTGAAAAATGTAAAAAATATATACATTTATTATATAAATATTAATAAGAATAAAAGAATTTTTAATAATATTAGACAAATTGTCTTAAGATAGTTTCTGAGCATTGTGTTAACTAATGTTATTAACATTATTTAAGAATGCATTATTTTAGATTGAGAAACGGTATATTTCTCTATCTTAAATAATGCAAACTTAAATAATGTTAATAACATTAGTTAACACATCGCTCAGGAACTTACTATTATAACCAGTTATATTCATATTGTTATGCGCGTATAGATTTGAATATCCCCACTACTGGTCACTTGACCCTTTTCGTTCCAATTTTTCTACCTCAGAGGCATTTTTTTTTAAATCATGGACATAGGGAAGATTCGAACCAAAAATCTTGGACATTACCGACACGATCTTGGACATTGGCTACATAGTTCAACGTCCACGTTTTGTGGACATAAGTGGCGTTTCAAAATAAAGTAACAGCTAAATCCCGGGTATGGCCGCTCTCAGGCTTCTCTCTGCTTCTATCACTATACTGTGCTTCTATCTTGGAAGAAGGGGCGATAAACTCCCTAGCGCCACCTGGCTTGTGGCACCAAAATTGGAAGTACACCAACTTCCGTCGCCCCTAAACGGAGTTTGTTCCCCCCGTTCCCCCTGAGCTGACTCAACAGTTGAGTGAGCGTTCGCTGTTTTCAGTATTTTTCAGTTGTTTTACGTCCCAATTCCCGTTCGACGATTCACTACTAAACGCTTCATTCTAAACTTGCTTTTTCTAATTTTGTGCCGACCTCTTTTTACTATCGCATCTGTCAAGACTTCTACCACATCGATTTCTCTTCTGTCGAACTATAAATCGGCAGCAAACGAAATTGTTTTTACTACAAACAATGCAAAATCATGAAGTTCTACGAGGTAATTAATTTCTTCGGTGTATTAGTAATTTTTAGGATACATAATTTGTGTAATTCAGCGACTATAATCTATAAAACGATTCTTTGCTATTAAACCAGAATCCAGATTGCATGCCTTTGGAGGAACTGCAGCTGAATATTAAGAATGACGGGGTGATTGTTGTGGTAACTGCACTAGTACGTTAATTTTTTAATCTTAACTTTGTAGCAATTCCTAGATCCATTTAGGTAATCTAATATGTGTTTATTATACTTAAAGCAAGGTTATGTGTTTACGAGTACAATATGACACATATTACATGCATATTAACATATTATAGATTTATTTTCTATAGCTAAATTACAATATACACCTTTGAAACTTGAAGTCAAACAAATGCTTGATATTTGACAAAAATGAGAAAATTCTAATGTAGGAATAAAAAAACAGATCTAAGACTTGTTTTTTTTCTCAAAGAAAGTTGTAAATTGATACACACTGATGCACAAATTGGACTCCAACTTATTGCATCATATTTATTTCCATTTAACAGTTGAAGTGAAACAAATATGATGCAATAAGTTGGAATTCAATTTTTATATCAGTATATAACAGTTTAGAACTTTTCTAATAAATGCATATATGTAAGCCAGATATTATTCAATGTTTAAATTCCTGTATATTGTTTAATATCAAATTTTAGAATATGAAGTGGGCAGATAAGCGTTATTTCCTACGTTACATAGCACCAGAGATATATAATGAAGATGGATCAGAAATTATGGGTGCTAAGGATCATTGGATGGAAGTTGTGAGTTACATAATTGAAGATCTGAACTGGTTACTGACTCTTCCATTTTATCGGTACAGTAATATTTTTAATAATTTCACTATATATACACTATATATACTTTACTATATATACAATACTCGATTTGGTCTTTTCAATTGAACTTTTTGCACTATAATTTCTTCCTTTTTTTAATTAGAAAAAAACAAAAGATAAATAATATATGAAGTTCAACTGAAAAGAACAAATCTATAGTTAATGGTATGTTCAATTATTACAAGTAATTTTTTTTTTATTTAGATTCTGGTCCAATATTATATATAATTCGTCAATTATGGATATGTTAGTTTCTTTTTTACAAGAAGCTCCACCTTTCTATACTTTGGAAAGTTTTCCTGCTGAACCAAAAATGCTTGAGGCATTAGAAAATCTTCGTTACAACGTACTTATTGTTTTTGCGCGTCTCTGCACGAACAAGCAGAGTCCAGCAGAATACATGAACCGTCCATTTCTTGGGAAGTTATTGTATGAGTATTACATATTTACGATACCAATTATATTTGATCTGTGTCAACTGTATGGTAGAGAAAGTACCAAAGTAGTAGAGAAAATTGTAGATAGCATATTTAGTCTACAGCCTATGTACAATGATGACCTTCAAAAATCCTTACCATGTCTAATAAAGGTGACGTATATTGTTTAATCGTGATAAAGAAAACAATTTTTTGTATCTTACATTTCGATTACTGGTTCTATTTATATCAGTCACAAATATGAATTGATATAATTAATTCTTTTCTAAATTAATTATTCTTAAAAATCAAATCCTGTGTGATTAACAGTCATTGTTGATCAAAAGTAGAAACTTGTAGATTATTAAGAAATTGTGAATTATAGATTAAAAAATTTATAATTTTTGTTTCAATTGAATTAATCAATCATCTTTGCTATCATAGGCTCTCGAAAATGTTGAACGAAGATTTGAGAATTGTCCAAATAATTCTACTGAAGTAGTGGCGCTTTCAGAGAGAGGCGGCTCCATTGAGATGACATTATATAATTTAGAGGATTTGATAATCTATATTCTAGATATATCATCAACTCTTACTATATTGTTAAAAGTTCATCATCCAGTGATTGCCATGTTTCACAAAGATGACTTCATAAACAAGTGACTCAAAGACTATTTTATAATTAGTGTCTAATCTAATTAATCTAACATTATTTTTTGCAACATTCATATTTTATTAAATTAGTTCTTTTATTCAATAGTTTTCATTATATTGAAATTTTTTTTATTTGTGAACATATATATTTTGCTCAAATACACAATATATTTTTATTTTGGTACCACTATATTGTTTCTGTTTGCTAGGATAGTTTCAATATATGGGAATACAATACCTGAAATGTATAAAAAATTAGACAAGTTAGCATATAGCGAAGAAAATATGCCAAAGTATATCGAATTGAAGCATCGTCTCGATGTAACCAGAGTTGAAATGTTAAGCCTTTATCGAATTATTATCTATGAACCCATATTACAAATTCAAGAAAAAATGTAAGTATACGAAATGACCATTTTATGATAAAAATAATATCTTGATTAAAATATTTAATTTACTTACTGATGTTACATTTACAGAAACATAACAACGGAAAACGAGATAAGAAATTGCATAGATAAATATTTGGATTCATTAATAAGTGCTATCTCTGAAAAAGAATTCATTATAGACTATCATCAGTTTTACCCAGTTGACGTCGATATTCAAATTATAACTAAACTTTATCCTGAAATGTATCCTTTTTTAAAGAGAGATTATAATATTATATTGGGTGCCTTCTCTCTCTCTCTCTCCAACAAGCGACACAGATGACATGGTGTGACACAGTGTATCAGTATGTCTTTGTTGTTCGCCAATGTTAAACAAGGATGAGATGATTACTGTGTTGTACTGTGTCGCTTGTTGGAAGGTACATATTATTATTATATAAATATAGACATATACACAGTTTTAAATCTTAGTTTTCTTTACATATCCTAATATTCAGTGATACAATAAAAAGCAACTACATATTACAGTCATTGCATGCATCGATTGGAGATACCAAGATGTTAGCTAATGCATCACTCAATTATACAAATGTAACAACAAACTTGCAAAAATATATATATGTATAGATTTATTTAAAAAAGCTTATATCATTATTTATTACATTATAGATAGCTGTTGCGGGATGTAGCGGTATTCAAAGCAACCAACAAAAAGAACATTCCAGTGATGTGAATTATATAAACAATGAGATAGATTCTGGTTCAAAAGATCCTGACAACATAATGTCTCTTATCTCCGAAGTAAAAGAAATTTTATGTGACTATGGTGAAGGTTTTATTCAGGTAAGACTTTTGTTACATATTTAGTTTATTTAATTAATTTATCATTAAAAATAATGGATTAAAAGTAAAGCATTGATTATTAATACTAAATTCGCTAAAATGATTGAGAAGTGTTTTCATAAATTTGTGCAATCTAAAACTTTCAGTTTTGTTTAAAGTATTATAACTATAACATTGAATCTGTGGTAAATGCAGTTCTGAACAATGGATTACCACATGATTTAAAACAATATGATAAGACATTACCATATATACCACCTGATCCAATGGTAAGTAATAAAATAATTTCTTTGCTATGATAAGTTAAAATGGCGAAAATTAATCTATGTTGTATATGTTTTTAGGAAACATCGGCTGTTATGGATCTGGCTACTGCAAATCTAGCCAATGATTTTCAAGAGTTGAATGTTTCCTACAACGATAAATTTGAAGTCTCGACAGAGCAATTTACAGACATGTCAGATGTAAGAAAAAAGTAAGTCATTGTAATGGTGCAAAATTTGCACGTATTAATTTTGATTTTGTTAAAATTAAAATACATCTTTTTCCTAGGAAAAATAAATACAGAAATGCAAATGAAATGTTAAATGATAAATCTGCAATTAGAGAAGCGAGGAAAATCTATGAAAAATACAGCATTGTTACTGATGAATACGATGATGAATATGATGACACGTATGACAGTCATGACATTCGTGGTAGTGCACAGGATGATTCTACAGAGATAGATGCAAGGTCTTTCATTCCAAGGGTTAGTTCAAATATTCTTTATTTTTATAATATAATTGTACATGAATTTAATTTTCTATGCAACAAATTTGTTTCGTAGGTATTTCAGACATACAATAAAAATAATGCTAGCTCCGAGGATGATACAGAGATAGAAGACGAGAAACCTGTACAAAACAGTGATCATTTTGTACAAAATCCAGCAGAATTACGTGCTAGAGCTGAACAGCGAAAACAATCAAGAGAAGACAAGAATGCACACAATGTAAACGGTAAATTACAAATTTATTTGTGTAAATTTCCTTAAAAAGATGCTGGAGTGACCAAATTATTAACATTACAGTCGTGTAAAAAAAAATCTCCGAATTGACTAAACAGAATCAAAAATCCTTTTACAGGATTGAAGTAGACGCAAAATTAGGAGATGCTGTAGTGGCTATGCCTTTAGTATAATATAAAGTGATTAAAACTTTATACTAAAATCGATAAAAAGTTAAATAAACTAACTTTTTTCGATTTTATAGTTATAGTTTTATATATAACTAAATGTTTTATAAATAAATGAATATGCATATATATATATATATATATATATATATATATATGCATATTCATTTAGTTAAAAAAAAACACGTAATGACACAAAATACACAAAACGAACAATTTTACTTTAATTCGACAAATATACAAAATTGTTGTTTCAACTTATAGAAATGTATCATTTATATATATAATACATATGTTCAATGAAATATTGATTACATTTCAGAATAGCATTTCCGAAATGTAATATTAATTGTATAGTAATTAATTACGTATAATAATTATATTTAATTAGATTCTTAGCGAATATTTATAATTGCATTTTTTTCTTGTTTGGTTTACTTTCTTGTATGTCAAATCGAAAATTTCTATGTATTTGGCGATCCAATACTATTGAGTAGTGTCCCAAATAATTCAAATTATTGATTTCCAATTTTTTCTTTAAGGAAAATCCAAAAATCATAAGCAAGATAAAAACGGATCAGTTTACAAGAGGAAAAATGTATACAAGGCTACACATGGCAATCATAATCGACGAGTAGGTGCAGAGATAAAAAGAAAACAAGGAATGATTCCATCTTAAAGCAGCACATTTTCACAGATCTTATGATGTACATACTGCCAAACAATAAATATATTTACTTAGCTATTTAATCATTCCACAAAAATAAACATTTTTATCATTTTTGACGAAACGCCAAAAATTACGTGAATTCTTCGCAATATATTAGAATAAATTATCAGATTTAGATTTTTAATTGTAATTTAACTCTTATTTGCCCTGTTTAACGTATCAATTATTATTATATAAAAGAGTCCTTGAAATCTTCAATTTATTTGTTTATTATTTTTATTTATTCGTTTGATTATTCTGAGTTAAAAGCGAATAAATACTTCCACATCTTTATTTGAAAATAATTTTATAAAAAATATGTATATGTATGTATATTACAAGTGTTTCAAAAATTTTTAGAGGAATGTGTTGTACTTGTTCAGTGATTCTTTACTATAGTTAACGCTCGCAATCTATTTAATTCAATATTTATAACTCGCTGATGTTCCTCCTCAGGTACTATTGTGCTCGATGTGAATTCGAAAGAATATTGAATAGGCATTAATTGTGTATACAACTGTGTCCCATGTCCGTAATAATTCAATTGTATCATAATTACAGCGTGAATGCTCGGATTGATGTACTCCAATCTTTTTCCAAGAAACGTTGGTAATTCCGTGAGTAATTGAGCGTGTATAGTTTTCAACTCTTTAGCGGCTGCCTCCTCTGCTCGTCGTTCTCTCTCTAGCTTCGCGATGTGATTCGCAGTTCTATCTTTCTTCTCTTGTAATTTTTTTACACGATTATACACATATTTCCACGTGGTTACTAGATCCTCACGCTTTGCTACTGCTGCAGCGATAGTAATAAATTCATTTCTGAACTTTTTCAAGGGTTCTATAAACGTCTTGTGGCATAAGCTGCTGATTTCTTGAACGTTCTTTCCTACCTAATAACGAAATGCAGCGTGAATTACAATATTAGCAGAATATTTATTTTTTGCAATTCTTGAAAATTTTCTTTGCATTAAACTTTAAAGCAAGATGTTTACTGAAATTTCATAAAGAATTCCTTTAGAAATTTCTAGATAAAAAATTTTTAATACAACTTTGAAACTTGGAAGTATAAGCAATGTAAATTATATATTAAAATAATAAAATTTATCATAAGACAGATTTCACGAGACTATCTACCATTTTTTTAAATTGGAACCATTAAAGCTAATTGGAACAAAGAAACAAAATTTAAATTTAAAAGTACAATTTAAAATTTCAAAAATTTCCCTGAGTTCAATAAAATTCAATGAAAAAATCCACGATTTTTATCAAATATTAAAGAAAAATCTGAAAATTCCAGATAGTAAATACTGTAAATAGGAATAATCGTATTACTGAAGAAAACTTTCAATTGTTATAAAACAGATTCTGCTGAATACAATCAATATCTTGAGGGAGAAGATCAATGTCACATCTATAAAGTATTGACTTACTTGAGTAGCGACAGAATAATACTCTTCCACTATTCTTCTACATTCATTGTTATTCTGTGCCAGCCCACAATTGATCAGATTTGTACTTAATCGTTGATCAGCCCTGTCCAGATTTGTTAAAGCTCCTATATATTTCTTCATTTCCTTGGTTAATTTTCTTATTGCACTTTCCACACTTAAAAAGAAAATTAATATATTGTAATATCTTTTCAAATATTTTTTTTTAAGTACAAATGCAAAATCTAGTTCATATAAACTAAATTATAATAAAGAAGCAAACTTTCATTGCACAAAACAAACATAGATATATAATATATCAAATATATATACTAAATGAGCTTTTGAACAACAACATCCAATTCTTTATCTTCTGCGTAAGACAAAAGTGGTGGTGCAGAAGTCGGTCTCTGGGTCAAGTAGTTCTTCTTTAAAGGATTCCTGCAATGTATATACATACCTTATATATGTAAATTTGCTATTTAAAACATTAGAGAATATTATAAATATTCAACATATATTTTGAGAAATAAACTTACCACGTCATATTCAATAATAAATACTGATCAGCAAATGTAAGTATCAACAATCGTTTACATATATGTACATGAATGATTTTAAAGCTTAGACAACAATTTTGCAAAGTGCTTTTGTAATCATATTTGCTATCTTCATTCGTATCTTATGACTATCTGACAACTCATGAATACAAGAGTAAACATATCTTTGACAAAATCATGCGTTGTATGATTATAAAAAAATATTATATACCCTTCAGTCTTCTTTAAAATTTGATCTCCCCACACGAAAATGATATTTTTAATTAGTATGCGATAAGAGATAGCGAATGTCACTTTTTATTTTATCCATTGTTTAGAAGCACTTAACGTGTACCGCGCATGCGTTTCTATAACGAGTCCCATCTGTCTCGTCTCGTTTGAGAGATAAATCAGCAGCGCTAGTTAACGATAGCAACAATCATCGATAAAATGTTTAGAGAATCCCGGCCCAGTTAAATCTATTGTTCGGGATAAACCTTTGATTATATTTTAACATGTGGACAAGAAAAATGAAGAAAAGATTGCTCGAATGTGATTATGCAAACGTCAAAGTTATATATGTGTATGTTAACACATTCTTCGTAGCTGCACCATGTTGTTCTTTTTGCACTCGAAATTAAATAAACGAAATTAATTTGAAGTTAACATACAAGAAAAAGCTATACAAAAAATTCAACTGCATCTCGCGTGTAATGGATGTAATCATTAAATGGATTTTTCAATCCAAGCATAATAAAATTGTACATTACGAAATTCTTCTTTTAATAATTGGATATATCATTCACCAGTCACGAGGCTGCACACTGCAGCACACACTTTTGCATGACGTATAATATATGACGCATAAGAGAATCTACAAATCATGATCTTTCTTTTCCTCCCACTTTACGAAAGAGAAGCATTTTGATTTGTTGATTCTCTTATGCATTATGCGTCATGCAAAATGTATGCTGCGGCCAATACCGCTCATTGCAGAATCCGGTGCATAAAGTTTTCTAGTCAAATAATATTTAATAGCTCCAGGGGGTCTATTTTTAAAAAGAAACTTATACAAAAGTCTAAGGAAATATTACAGTATACGGCTGCTTTCCAGCTACGACACAAGTAGACACTGTGTAACACAGTGAATCATTGCATCCTTGTTGTTTGCCTACGTTAAACGAGGATGAAACGATTCTCTGTGTTACACAGTGTCTGATTCTGTCCTTACTGGAAAGCACCTGTTACGTATACTATAGTATTTTCCTAGTTTTTCGTATACGTTATTTCTTTTCAGGAATAGAGCTCCAGGCACTTGAGCGCACGCTTGGGCTATACCTTACATGTTAAAAGCTGCAACTTTGAAAATTAATAACTCGAATTCGGTATACCGCTAAATTTTCTGAATTTTGGGGGATATATCGATAATGATATTAATAGTAGTTGAAATGTAGTTGAAATTTTAAGCATTTTGTATAGAAATCGATTAACCGGTGAACATCCTTAAGCTATAGCCACACAACTTGCATAATCGCAAAAACGCATTTTCATCGATAAAAACGCGCTTTTGGGTCTGCGCACAATGGAGGAACAAATATTAGATATTAAAATATTAACCTATCAGAATCGTGTATTCCGGTGTAACTGGTATCTGATAGGTTAATATTTTAATATCTAATATCTGTTCCTCCATTGTGCGCAGCCTTTATCTCTGAAATTCTAAAGTATACGTGACGTAACTGTAGCATGTTAGAGCGCTAACATCGTTGTTCTGAATACGGGCCCTAGAAAACAAGTTCTTCTATTGGATATCGTACCGTCATACATCGGATGTCATACGCAGTGTGAATCGCACATAAAACAAGTAATTTAATATTTGAGAAGGTTCCGATTGCCTACAATCCCGATTGCATACATTGTTCGCTGATTGGTCAATTTAAAAATAATATAACCTCATTGGTAAAGCAGAGAAAAGTTACTAGGCACCGGCCAATGTGAGTGGTGTATGTAATCAAGATTGTAGACAAATGGGGTCCTTCCTTTATATTCGGTGTAATCTTGATGATGATTTTCTCGCTGCGTGTTTACTTTGTGAGTTGCCTTTTATTTTATTATTATTTATTTATTTGGTAGGTATGTCAATATTATCTTATAAAATAATTTATTATTTATTTTTCGTTTCTTTTATAATAACAACTTTTATTGCAACAATTTTTCTACACCTAAAGATTAAAAAACTTTAAAGAGAGCGTTAGTGCCATATATAAGGAGTGGAGAGTGATAGTGTAACGTACGTAGATGTATGTTTGGATAATTAATTTGTATCATTCTCTCTCTCTCTCTCTCTCTCTCTCTCACTCACCCATTCACTCACTCACAGTGAGTAGGCTGCTAAAACCTGTCTACCCACAAAAGTATTAAAACCTTTTGTGATCGGCTCAATATTCACTTATAGAACGCGCGTGGATACTCTTACAACTTTTATTACATCTAAATATATTTTTTTTTATTTCATGATATAAAAGTTATGTATTATACATATATTAATTGATATCCATCCATTCTCTATACTTGGTTAATTTTTTAAAATAATTACTGTGCTTACAAGAGAATTTAATTAGAATTTTTTAATTTGATTTACTTATTATAATATATACAAAACTAATAAAAATTTGGTTCTATTCGAAAAACAATAATTTCATAAAATGAGCATAATATCACACACAGGTTCTTATTTGTGATAAATTATTATAAAATAAATGATTTATTCATATCTCAATACCATAAAATCTATATAATATTATATAGATTTTATGGTATTGACATGAATAAATTATTTACTTTATAATAATTTATCACAAATAAGAACCTGTGTGTTGTATTATGCTCATTTTATGAAATTATTCTTATTATAATAGTTTGAGATAAAAAGAGGTGGTCATTATTTATACTAGGACTGTAGTATGAAATAAACAAATAAAAAAAATTTAACGTAATATGAATAAAATTATAAATATATTATATATATATACGTACTATATATAATTTCTTTATTGATATTAAAATAACATTTTTTATTTGCCTATTACAGTTTTATTTCAATAATCGTTTTTACATGATTGTACACTTTATATAAAAGTAGCAGAATAGGTAATTTTGATTTTTATTTCATGATTTATCTCATTTGAGTGTATCACACACGCACACGTATATGCATACAATAAGAAAATTAAAAAATCATGGTAATTTGTAAAAATTAAATTACAAACGTTAAATTTCTTTATTTAAAAAAAATATATAATAAGATGCATTTTAAATATAAATTTTTGGAGATTTATCAAAATTATCTTAAAACTATTAATAGAGTTTTGTAGTATAAATACTCGCTTTCAATGGTGATTTTTAGGAATTTCTAAAAATATGGGATGTTACTTTAAATATATATAAATATGAATACAAAATATTAGCTTTATTTGTTTACCCATTTTTATAAATTTAATTCCCAAAATTTACCCTTGAAAACGGATATTCATGCTAGGAAACCTTTTTTTAACTATTACGCATGATAATATTAGGAGTATAAATAAGTTTCCGCCGTTTGATAAAAGATGGCGCCACCAGTATGTTATGGTTAAAATTGTAAAAATTGAATGTAAAATGACTGTAATTCTTCTGTAGGCCAATAAACTACATTATCTATCTAAAATTGTGTGCTGTAAAACGTCATATCGTAAGGTTGGACATCTGGCAACAACATAATCTTGAAATATTTTGTATCAGCATTATATCTTTTTTTCGTGTAAAAATGTCGAGTTTTTTTTTTTAGCAGAATAAGCGTCGTTTGCGGAAGCTTATTTAATTTGAAGAAATCTGTAGCTGAGGCGTATCGATTGCTTGTAGAAGCATATGATGGTGAGGCTGCCTTAAGTGAGAGAAATTGCAGTGAGTGATTTCAAAAGTTTAAGAACGATGAATTTGACGTCGAAGACAAAGAACATAGTTTCGACGTTTTTTGTTTTTTCGACGTGGAATCCACCAATTACCAGAAAAATGGGAAAAAGTAGTGGCTAACGATGAACAATACTTCCAGGAAGTAAGATATAAGGATACTCCACTCCGTAAAATAAAAGTGGACCCATTTTAGGTTTCGAGTTCAGTTTCCGATTCTGATGAGTGCGAGTAAGAGAAATGATCATTTCTCTTACTCGCATTCATTATGCGCAGCACTACTAAGTTCACGAGCGTTGCGAGTATCGAGAATCGGAAACTGAACTCGAAACCTAAAATGGGTCCATGTTTTGTAGACTGGCGAAGTGGCGAGACTGAGTGGAGTCTCCTTATATCTTCCTTCATGAATACTTCGAATAAAACATTAGGTACCATTCTTTCACAATAAATGCCCAATTTTTTATGAAAAAACGGCGGAAACTTATTTATACACCTAATATTATTTTGGTATTTTATATGAAATAGAAATTATAACTTTGTGTGTATTTTTGGGTAGGAGTTGGCAAGCTGCAGACATTTAATTGTTGAGCCTCAGATTGCGCATCACTGTGATGCTTCTCCGTCTTCTTCAATTCACTATGGTTAACTTTTAAATGTTTGTTCAAATAATGTTGTTGAGAAAACGTCTTCAGACAAACTTCACATACATGTGGTCGGATACCAATGTGAGTAAGCAAATGCTGGTTTAGCAATGACTTAGTGTTAAAGATCTCTGAACAGTAGTTGCATGTGAACGGGTTGCCCTCATGCAGCATCATATGCTGTTGCAAGCTCTGTTTGTATACAAAATGGTAACAGATGTCACATTGAAACAGCTGCATTGTCTTATGCTCCAAATTCTCGTGCTTCTTCCATTCTTCAATGGAGCTAAACTTGTTACTGCAATGCTGACAAGCATAATACATTTCATTCGCCATTGTATGTATTTTCTTGTGTCTTTGCAGCTGACTCATCCGTATGAACTCCTTCTGACATATCGAGCACGAGAACCGTTTCTTCTTTAAATGTGTGTATAGATGCTTGTGCAAATCCGATAGAATGAAAAAGCGTTTCTTGCAGTTACTGCACTCGTATTGGCGATTGCGATGGACGCGCTGAATGTGCAACACTAGCATTTCATACAGAAGAAATGCATAATCACAATGATCGCATTCATAGATTTTGAACCTGTCCTTAGTATTCACTTTTTGTTCACTCTGGCTACCTGCGTCCTGATCCTCTTTGTAAAGATGCTTGCTAATCTTGTTCCTCTCTTTTTCGTTTTGTTGTTCTCTTCCTATCTCATTTTCTCTAATCTCATACTCCCTTCTGTTGTTGTCGTTAACACACTGCTTTTCTAAACTCTTGTTCTCTCTTGATTCAACGGGTCTATTTTCGCCAATTTCCGTCGGCGATTTGTCCAAGAAGTTTTTCGGCAAGTTTCCAGACATAGAAGATACTGGTGTTTCTACGAATTAATAGCGTAAAGTTATAAAAAGTTGAATATATATGACGAACAAAAGTAATGTAATTTCTAATAACACTATTAAAATATAGAAACGTATTTGCTTAATGACATACTATCTCGTTAAAAAATTGATCGGAATCGATAGCATGGTTGGGAACGATAAACAATCAACCGTTATTAATCATAGTTATGTAAATGAACAAAAGAATATCGTAAATCTATGAGAGTTATTATTTATCGTTTTCTTTTATGCACAATAAATAATAAATTTTCAATTGTATTAGGAGATTGCATTAAAAGCAATTGATGATCGTTTTTGCAACAAATTATCATTCAAATGCACCAATTGTTGTCGATATTGCGCTCCAGTTTTTACATATTGTTTCGAATAGAGCAGATTCATCATAAGTTTCCGCAAGCAATCGATGAGTTTTAGCTGCACTTTTTTTTCAAATCAAAATACTGTAGAAGTACACATCGAAAAAACAACTTATCCCGTTCAATTTTAATTCAATTATAGAAAAGCACATGTGTAAATAAGGATGGCGACTGAATTTTAGTGGGAAATGTTCATACTTCAAAATCACATAAGTAACAGATGTCTCTGACCGCAGTATGAGTCATCTAAACGTAAACAGCGACTTTTAATGCAATCCCCTAATAATAATATGATGAGAAACGACAGAGAATTTGGGTATGTTAAGTTAGCACCCCAACTATAGTACTCAGGAGTTCTGATTAGAGTTTCCACTTTCTTTTGACGAGACGAAGAGTTCCCTATAGTTAATAACAAAAGAGTTCCGCACAAAAAAATATTTTTTTTACATTTTTTTTAAATGGGGTGCTAACTTTTTATCGAATTCCGAGGTGGAATAGTTCTGAGCGGCTTAATAGCTTCAATTTGCGATTGCCTAGAGTTCCTGATATGTAAAAAAAATTTTCGAATATTAAAAAAAAAACTAAAAATTTTAAAAAAATTAATTTTTAGATACAATAGTTCTGATGATAATTTCTGCTTCTTGTTGACGATACGAAGAGTTCTTTATGATTTTTAATGACATATGCGCTTAATAATCATTTTTTAATAATTTTTTAAAAATGGGGTGCTAACTTTTTAACGAAATTCAAGGTCGCATAGTTCTGATCAGCTTAACAGAAGTATTTTGTGAATACCTAGAGTTCTTGATACATAAAAAACATTTTTGAAGAATAATAAAGTTTAAAAAAAATAGT